TTTTTTTCTCTTTTTTTTTGTAATCTTAATTAATTAAAGTTAATAATAATTAAATTTAATTAATTATACTTAATTACAATTAATAATAATCAATTAAAAATAATAGAATTAATTATGATTAAAATTAATTAATCATAATTAATTAAAAGTTATTTTTAAATAATTATAATTAAAAATAATTAAGTTATAATTAACTTAATTAATTAAAATTAATTTTTATTAATTAAAATTATTATAATAAAAAAATTTATTGTTTTGGCCGGACTTAGGCTAAATCCGACCAAATGGTTTTAGTGCACGCGTTAAATCCCAAAGATGGGTAAATCTCGGGATTTAAGGATTTACGGCTTAAATCCTGATTTTACCAAATCCCTTGGTTCGGCTGATTTCTGGGATTTGGCTGAAGAAGAACGCGATAGGGAGAAAATTACCTTCCTCAGCAAGCGAGCTCCTGCCGTTGATTCCGATCCGACGGGTAGGGAATGTCGTCGAAGGAGTTAGGACGACACAGCCAAAGGGGTCGGGGAAACGCACGGAAGAGAGAAAGTTATCTTCACAGCCGAGCGAGCTGTCGTTACAGCTTCCGATCTTACCGGACCGAGAAGGGAAAGTCGGTCGGAGGAGCGTGGTCGAGCGACTTTGAGGGAGACAGGGAGAGAGTGAGCGTGAGAGGAGCGAGCGAGATCGCGAGAGGAGGCCGAAGGCCTCTTCTTCGCTGGCTTTTAACGACGCGAGAGCGTCGTATGGGCGACGTGGGAGCGACGTGCAGGATGCGACGTCTTCGGCGTGCAGGCGACGTGCGTCGTGGCCTTGGCAGTGGGCAGGTAAGATATTTTATTTTTTTTTTTTTTTTTTTTTTTTGTACAGCAGGTCAACAGTCGTATCTTGGGATTTTGATCCCACGGTTACGATGGGAATCATTTAACGTTGTTTAAATAAATAAGACATAATTAAGGAATATTAATCAAATATCATTGAGGTCATTTCCTTCAATAAGAAATTAATAATATATTTTTGATAAATGTCGAATAAATGCAATTTAACAAGTTTAATATATTAAATAAGAAATTTAGAATCACATAAATTTGTTAAACACACTTCGAAAATGATATCATGTCCACTTTAAATATCTATTTTATATTTGAAAATGACATTTAGAAACACGCTTGAAAATCTACTTTTACTTCTGCATTCTATTAATCAAAGCCATCAAATACACTTAAGACATCATCAACGGGTCATGCAATTCATCCCACAGACCATTTGGAAGACGCTACTCATTTAAAATCTTGATGACCTTCTCATGCAATTGAAACCATCTTTTTAAAATTTATTGATGCATCAAATATTGATCAAATGGTCTTAAAATTCTTCAAAGCTGGTATGACACTTGCTTTAATTATGTAAAAGAGAAGAAAATGCATGGTTTTGCACTTTTAGGGTTATATATCAAAGTCTAAAAGAGAAGAATAGGGACTTTGAAAATGATATCATGCTCACTTTAAGTATCGATTTTATATTTGAAAATGACATTTAGAAACACACTTGAAAATCTACTTTTACTCCTGCATTCTTTTATTCAAAGCCATCAAATACACTTAAGACATCATCAACGGGCCATGCAGTTCATTCCAGACCATTTTGAAGAGACACTACTCATTTAAAATCTTGATGACCTTCTTATGCAATTGAAACCATCTTTTGAAAATTTATTGATGCATCTAATATTGATCAAATGATCTTAAAAATTCTTTAAAGCGGGTATGACACTTGCTTTAATTATGTAAAAGAGAAGATAATGCATGGTTTTACTCTTTTTTGGTTATATATCAAAGTCTAAAAGAGAAGAATGATCATTTTTTTAATAGGTGTTTGTTGTTATGACTTTCTAATGCAAGGTCTTCCTGTTCAAATGGATCTCGATTACCATATGTTTGTCCAAATCAATTTTCCACGTCTCCTTTTAATTTTTTCACTCGTTTTAATAACCTTTTAATTAACTTTTATTTGTGTTCTAAAGATATCTTCTGTTTTTCCATTTTAGTTTGATTTATTTTTAGTATGCATTGAGGATCTTTTTCTGTAGAGATGGTGTCTTAATACTCTAAGGTGGGCATGATATCATTTTAAAATATAAATATTTAGCTATTGGAGGCCTCCTTTCCTCTCTCTCTCTCTCTCTCTCTCTCTCTCTCTCTCTCTCTCCCCCCACCCCCCAATCATCTTCTTTCTTATTGATATCATTTTCAAATAAAAAACTATACATACTGTTCTTTTCGTCATCAATAAGATTAGTGGATTATTGTGTATTAAAAAATTAAGAGCATTTATGACCATTCAGATGCATTAAAATCCCCCTTAATGGATAACTTCTGCTGCATGAGACGATCATTTTGGATTTCAAGGGGTAGAATCTTTAACATAATTTGGAATTCAATATGTAGGCTGATATTTAGAGAGCATTTTATGGTTTTGACTGTTGACTGGTGCAATACATGGGCAAACTTACAAATGTTTTGAATTTTTTTTTTTAATTACAAAATGCTTGATGATCTTTTAACAGTGAGGTATGGAGTTTGAAGATTGATAGCTTGCTAGGAAATAAATAAAACTAGAAGAAACTTCTTATTTATACATATATTTATCTGTTAGATCGTTTTCTCCTCCCAAATCCCAACTTTTGTTTGCTTCACTGCATTTAGCATTTACATAAGGTTCAAACAGTGGTGCAATCACTTTTATTTCCATAATTTATCATCCTCGGTATTTAATATTTCTAAAATAGTCGTGCAGTAGTTCATATGTTTTCTCTTCTATTCTTTAGAAAAGACGATCCAATGCACCAAAAGTCCCGTGCCATTTGATATTGATGCAGTGCATTTAGCAATTCCTCAGGTGATTCCTTGGGATTTACGATGTGAACTATCAGAAAGGGTGGAAGAAGAGATCAGAAAAACAGTTTCTGCACTGGAAGAAAATTCTATTCTGAATGAGCTTTGGCAACACAATGTTACAGCTACTGTCCAGAGTAGAAAGAAAGGAAAGTTGAGGAAACAATCTGTGATTGGTCGTTCACAGTTTTCAGATCATATGAACCATCTTGAAGACCATTTATATGATTCAGATTCTCCATCAAAGTGCTTTCAAAGAGTAGCCAAACAAAAACGTTGTGTGGTTTTATCCTCAGAGTCCGATGATGGGCTATCCTCTGATGAGGTCAAGCAGAAAGATTTATCAGTTAATCAGAAGCTATATTCTGACGAGCTCAAGAATGAAGATACATCAACACAAGCTGATGGCAACAATATTCCAGCTATCACCACCCCTCCTACTTCAAGAAGTCAGGAAATATATGGGGCCTCTCAACTTGATCAGATGGATGAATCAAGAAATGCCCTGGTTTTCCAAAACTCTTTTGACATTTCTGAAGTAGCATCAACTTCCCATGTCTGTGAGACTTCCAGGATACAAGATGTGGATACATGCATCTCAGAATCATCTTTCATTTCTGGGATTGAAACAAACATGAATTTTAAGTTAATCTCCCAGGAAGTATCACACAACTCTGGGTTCACTAGTTTATATGATTTGAACATTTCTCCTCTCATCCAGCCAAGATTTGAATTAAATAGTGCAGATGGGGATGGTTCTGAAGTAAGCAAGTTCTTTGAAAATCATGTCGGTACAGATGTACAGACAGAGTTGCTGCAAAGAAATCAGAAGATTGGATGCTTTCAAAATGAAGAAGAACATAGACCCAGTCAATGTCAGTTAGTGAATGATTGTAGCCATCCTGATTTTAGTGCACCGTCAATGCCCAGCGATAGTACTGCATGCTCCCATGAAGTTTCGTCAATTTCCAATACATGGAGGAGACTGCGGAGTTGTCATCATGAAAACTTGAAATTATTGCCATCAAACTCTAAAGATGTTTCTTTGGTGGCAAATCTAACTTCTGGACTTGCTCATTTGATATCAGAAGCAGACATTATGTTTAGCAGATGCAATCCAATCATTTATGTAAGATAATCCTGAACTTTTAGATAAATATAATAATAATTTTTACTTCTGTATTTATTTGGGAGAGATTTTGCATGATATTTTGGTATCTTTGCAGGACAATTTTGAGCCAACTTCCACTCATTGTGTTGAACCTGATTCCTTTTCTTGGTATGATGAGCAAGTAGAGATGGGATCTACCTTTGCTCAGCATGGACTCTGCTTTTACGCAATGAAGTTTGCTGCAGCTGGATCATGTTTGGGTTGCAATAACACATCAGATTTGGCCCAGGAGATCTTGGCTGCCAGCACTGGTAGCACTTCTCTTGGAAAGCTACTCACACAGGAAAGCAGTACTGGCCAAAATTCATGTTTTAAAGATTCAAATGCAAAGGCACCGCCATCCTTGATATCAACTGGAAGGTAACGATTAACAAACTCCTCTGGGATTCAATTTCTTCTTATTAATCATACTTCAAATCGCCTATTCTTATTTGCGATCATTAAACCTTTCACTTGATGCTGTAGGGAATCAGCAACCGACCTTTACAGCGCCATCCTTCCTATAGTTCCGGCAAGGTTGTCTATGGTATTAAAAGGTGCTGCATTTCATGAATACTTATCATTTGTGGGCCAGATATCAAGATTTGAATCCTCTCGCCTAGAAGAAAGCTTGGTAGATAAACAAAAGAAAAGGTAAGATCAAGACTTGACTGTTTGCATCTGCAAGCATATATGGATATAAAGTTTAGGTTGAAAAAATTTATTATCCAATCAGATTATTTTTTATTACGAAGTAATATTATTTTGTTTGTTTGTCCTTGGATAGCCTGCCAGTAAGATCTATGGAAGGAAATAGATCTATAGATACCATTGAGTTATCTGTGGAGGCACGTGTGGCTTTAGTTTAGCTTTATATTTAATATTTGAAATCTATAGTGGCTCTCATTCATAGCTTTAATTTTTTAGTTAAAAATTAATTTAGGCTTCGTTTGGGACAGTTTTCTTACTGTTTCTTAAAGTAACTTTTTAGTACAGAAATAAAAAATTTTATACTGAAAAGCTATTTTAAGAAGCAGTAAAAAAACCGTCCCAAACTAAGCCTAAATAATTGTTGTATGAGGTCCAAATTCTCCCCTCATCCCGTTTTGTTCACACTTTCTTAACAGTACACATTATGAAATTAATACTACTACTGGTGAACGTTTGAGTCATCTCCCTTCCAGCCGATCTGACTCTCTGTTTGCTTTTCTTTGAAACAGATCCAGAAGTAGAATGCACTACTTGTCTTCTGGTGCACATCAACTCTCCTCAGAACAAGCTGAGCTTTTGGCTCAAAGAACTTGCTTCACGAGAAGCAGCTCCATATAAGGTAAAACACAACTAGGAGATGGAGCTGATTCAATAGATGCGACATAGCAGAGCTTCATCCTGTAGGGTTATTTATTCTTGGCTTGTCTATTAGGTTTCATTTGAGATGATTTTTTCATTGCTTCTTAAAGCTGTTTTCTAGTAAAAAAATTTAATTTTTGTACTAAAAAGCTCCTTTAAGAAGCAGAAAGAAAGCTATACCAAACGAAACCTTAATGTCCTCTTTATACTTGAGGAATCCAGAAAGACCAGCTTCAAAGAGAAATTATTCGTAGATTAGGCAATAATGCTTATTTAAATGAGTCAGTGCTGGTCTCAGAATTCCAAGTCTCGGCAGCCGCAAGCAGGGCCTGCGTGTATATTTTTTGCTAGGGTAATTGATAGCATCTCGAGCAAAATCCTATTCGAGCTCAATATTAGCTCAAAGTCATTTAATTTGAGATTATTTATTATTTGATATTGTCGAATTAATTTAAAATTTTTATGAAAAACTCATTTTTATCGAATAAATATTTTATTTTTAACGCATATAAACGTGTTATGCTTTATCTGCTATTAATCCTTAACCCTCTTTGGATTTATTTATAATTTATTACACTTGACAATGATCAAATGAAATTTTAATATTTAGATCATGCGTGGTAATGATTAAATTGAGGAAATTTTGTTGTTAATTTATTAAGTGTTCTATTTGCAATTATATTCTAAGAGAAGAATCAGATTAAGAGATTTTTTTCATTTGTTGAAAAAGGATTGTTAATTAATTTAATTGAAAGGATTTTTAAATTTTAGTCTTTAGTTTGATATAAAAGCAATACAGTAGGATTTTCATAATGTATTTTTTCACCGCTTATTTTTTATCTATTTTAAATTCTCTTATTTTTTATAATTTTTTCTTTTTTTATCCAAGTTGATTTCATTGTCTTTGCTAGCTACAATCACCATCGTTAGAATTTTTATTAGATCTGGACATCTGATGTAGCTCTATATTCGAACGTCAATAAAATGTCCCAATGTTCTGACCTGGATCAGAACCCAATATTGTTATGTATTAGTTGATTTGTACAGATAAGGGTATTGCTCGGTAATGAGAAATACTATTCTATCATGACCAATGCCTAGCAATATTGAGCAATACCCTGTTTTTGTTAGGTATTGTTCGGTATTGATCTTGACAGAGCGGTATTTCTCGTTATTGTCAAACAATATTGAGCAATACCGAGTAATACTTAGCAATATACGAACATAGCAATATCAAGTTTCCTTTCCGGGTCGGGTCGTTGGGCTGCGTGGTAAAAAGTAAGAGCACGTGGCGTCATTTTATTGGCGTTCAGATATAGAGTTACGTCAGATGTCCGGACCTAATAAAAATTCCCATAGTTGGCTGTCATTGCGCCTTTTATTGCATTTATTAATTTCAAGTTTGATCCCAAAAATAATCATATATATTTATTTTGTATTTATCCAAATAAATCTAAATATTTCAAATATATTATGTTTTTTAATATTTAATTTTATTATACTTATAAAAAATGTTAGAGCAGTACACTCAAAAAATAAAACAGGGAGCGCTTTACAGTATCCATTAGACGGGTCTTATGTACATTTCATGGATGGATGCAAATGTTGCATTCATTATAAAATTCGCTTTTTTATACATTCAATAACTATATTTTTAATGGATACACATTTAATTACGGTATCTATGTGATATTTTGTTTTTTATCTTACTTGGTTATGATAAAAATTTTAAGCATATTTTGATGTTTTTCTTTCCTTGTTGTATCTTGGTTGTTATGAAAAAATGGTAGAAGTTGGCAAGACACTTCTTATAGCTATGAATTTTATGGAATATTTGATCTCATATAAAAAATCAATTTTGATATCACCTAGTAAGTGTAAGTTAATTTTAAAATATTAATAGATATGCATTATTAATCTTAAATTTTAGCCAAACACTACTATAAAATATTAAAATAGATTTATTGAAATTTAATGTTTGCCATGAAATTCTATTTATTATAAAATTATGAGTATAGTTTGTTTGCCACTCCTATCTAATTCCTTTCTCTAAAGATTTTTGTGTAGTGTGTTGCATTATTTTTTTGTATTATTTCTTTCACTTCAAGTGCTTTTTATTTCTCATTTATGCTTAGACTTCATTTGTGACTAATTTTCTACTTCTTTTAAAAGTAACTTTCAAGCACAAAAATTATAGTTTCAGATAATTTTGTATTAAAAAGCTGCTTTAAAAAATAGTAAGAAACATGTCCCAAACGAAGCTCTAATCTCATTGATTTTGTTGTTGCTCACTTATGACTTCTCAATATATTTCTCTCTTCTCGAATGAAAGTCACGCTTTTTTTTGTTTGATAAATTTCACCCTAATCCATTATTCTTGAAAGATTTTACTATTATTATTATTTGTTAATTGTTAGTGGATTATTTTAGTGAGAAATACATTAAGCATTCTTCATACATTAGTTTAAGGGATTGTTTGGAAAATATTAGCGCGTTATGTTTAGCGGCAATTAGATCAGTAGGTCAATTAATATCGGCTAGATTAAGCATTCTTCACAAATATGCTAGAATTCTATTTCGAAGGTGAACTTGGTGCGTCATGTTAGTGATAGTTTTTAACATAATGAAAGTGATAATTTTATATATGAATTTCACAATTAATTTGACTTGTTAAAGCAATATAAAATGGCCAATATATGGATGTACTTGTTAACACACAACTAATCAAGCTTAGCATAATACATTGTAATTAGTTAACGGCATCCAATAAGATGCATACATGTGTAAAGCGCTATGGCCCAAGTCTATTTATAGACTTCTGTACTCTAGTATCGAGATCTAATGAAATAATTTCTGTTTGCTTTCTTGTCTCATTCTTTGTCCTGTCTTCGTCTCTAAATCCGGCAACTCTCGCCGGAGATACGAAATTAACATGGTATCAGAAGCGGCTTGATCCTTCGGCCAGCCTTTCTCATGGCGTCTTCAACATCTCATTTCTCTCTTCCTACGACGGTCTCCGATGCACCGTCATTTGCTTCTGCATCTCAACCAAGCTTATACCCAGCTCTCAAATTCATAATCGCCCATCTCAAGACTCTGGTCCCTCATCATTTATCATCGGATAACTATCCAATATGGAGAAATCAGATTGTCAAGCTTTTTAAAGCCAATGGATTCGAGAGGTTTCTTGATACTCCATCTTTTAAAGATCAAGAACATCAAGACTCTATCTACACGGAATCTTCATGGGGCTTCACCGACCAAAATCTTGCCACAGCGGTATTTTCTACCATATCGGCTCATGTTCTACCGTATGTAATGCAACTAGAATCTACCTACGAAATCTGGCAAACACTTCAAACCAGATTTCAATCTACCAACCGATCCAAGGTCATGCAGTTAAAGAATGAATTACACAACATCTCTATGACAAATACGTCGATGCAAACATATCTCACTGAAGTAAAGAAGATCGTCGACAACATCGCATCTGCGGGATCGTCCATTGACACAGAGGACATTATTCTTCATATTCTGAATGGGCTACCACCATCGTACCAATCCTTCAAGACTACTGTCAGGACAATGCAATCACCTCTCAAACATGACAATCTGTACGCCATGCTAATCAGTGAAGAAATACATATTCAGGCGGACTCGCAAAGACTCCTCACTCATCAAGAATCTCAAACAGCGTTATATGCAAATCGTGGCAGAGGTCGTCGAGGTCGCGGAAGAAATCAGACAAGCTCCGTCCCCGTATCGAAACAGAACACCAAATCTGCTCTCACCTGCCAGATCTGCCTCAAAAGAGGCCACACGGTGGATGTGTGTTGGCATCGTCTTAACGCCAACTACATCACTCCGAAACCACAGCAAGACAACAACACAGCTCTGATCGCCTCTCATGAAGCCCCTTCTACGGACTGGTATCTTGACTCCGGTGCCTCCACACACATGACAAATCATCATGAGCAACTTCTTCAGGGATCGGTTTACCAAGGAGCTGATCAGGTGATGGTTGGGGATGGTCGATCAGTACCCATAGCTCATTCGGGTACAAGTCTTCTCCCTACACCAGATCGTAAGTTAACTCTTTCAAATCTTCTTCACATTCCTGAGATATCGCACAATCTTCTTTCCATCTCTAACCTGGTATCCGATAATCACATTTCTATTACGTTTACTCCTAACGGTTTTATCTTAAAGGATTTGCAGACCAACAACATTATTCTCAGGGGTCCGTGTAGAAATGGACTATATCCGATTACTATGCCTCAGGTGTCGCAAAATCAGCACGCTATGCAGGCTCTTCAAATCAAGAAAATAAACTGGCATGAGAGAATGGGTCATCCTCATCTTTGCACTCTTCAGCAAATCTCCAAAACCAATCCTAGTCTCTGTATTTCTACTAAGTCGTCTGTCTGTAAGTCCTATAAAATGTGCAAGAGGCATAAACTACCGTTTGATTCCTCTGTTCACAGGTCTACCAAACTGCTTCAGTTACTTCATTCTGATGTATGGGGACCCTCTCCGGTCACGACGGCGCTAGGATTTCGCTATTATCTTCTTATAATTGATGACTACTCTCGTTATTGCTGGATTTTTCCAATAAAATTCAAATATGATGTTACGCAATTTTTTTTGAATTTTATTAACTTAATTGAAAATCAAACTGAACACAAAATAAAAACTATTCGCACGGATGGCGGCGGTGAATACATGAACATTCAACTCCAACGACACCTTAAGACCAAAGGTATTCAGCATCAGGTCTCGTGTCCTTACACCCCTGAGCAGAATGGAGTGGCGGAGCGCAAGCACAGGCACATCGTAGACACGGCAAGAACAATGCTACATACGGCTTCTATTCCGCATTGTTACTGGCCGGAAGCGGTAGCTACGGCGGTATACCTTATTAACCGTCTTCCCTCACCCACTATTCTTTAACAGACACCTATTCAGCTCATGTTCAACACTGTTCCGCGCTATCATCATCTGCGTACATTCGGCTGCGCTTGCTTTCCTCTTTTACCGTAACAATCGTCCACTAAACTGCAGCCCAAATCCACTACTTGCGTTTTCCTGGGATACTCGAACAAACATAAAGGCTACAAATGCCTGAACCAAGTAACTAATAATATAATAATATCTCAGCATGTTACTTTCATAGAACATTTGTTTCCATTTATGCAGATAAACAGTCCTTCAACAACCCCAAACCAAGATGTTCCAATTCCGCTGCTTCTTCCGATCTCCAAAGCTCACGAAGGCATCACTCCCAAATTGAACACTCCCAGTTCTAACACTGGCACCAGGGAAACTCTGGACAGACCTGCTGATACATCTATTCCAAACATACAAGCTCAAACTCTAACAGAGCAAATACCTTCTTCCATTGCTATACCGATTCAGCACCCCATGACGACACGTCTCAAAA